TTCTCTCTAAATGAAAGGACATTCTTATATGCATTAGCAATCATACCTACTCCCCACCCCCACAATCTCTTACCCCTAAGAACCCATCAATCTATTTTCTGTCTCTATAAATTTTCTGTCTCTATTTTTGACATTTCATATAAATGGAATCACATAATGTGTGATCTTTTGTGACTGGTGTCTTCCACTTAGCATGTTTCCAAAGCTCATACATGTTTTAACATGTACCAGAACTTTATTTCTCATTGCTGAATGATATTTCACTCTAAGGATGCTACATTTTATTTATCTCTTCATGAGTTGATAGACATTTGGGATTTTCTACATTTTAGCTATTATGAATAATATAACTATGCACATTTGTCTACAAGTTTTTGCATGGATATATGTTTTCATTTCTCTTGGGTATATACTTAGGAGTAGAACTGATGTGTTACAGGATAATTCAATGTTTAGCTTTTTGGGGAACTCCCAAACTTTTTTCCAAAATGCCTGCACCATTTTAAAATCCCACCAGCATGGGACGCCTGGGTGGCTCAGTCAGTTAAGCAGCTGCCTTCAGCCTGGGTCATGATCCCAGGTCCTGGGATCGAGTCCCACATCTGGCTCCTTGCTCAGCAGGGAGGCTGCTTCTCCCTCTCTCTCCCTCTGCTTGTGCTCTCTCTGTCAAATAAATAAAATCTTTAAAAAATAAAATAAAATAAAATAAAATAAATAAAATAAAATAAAATCCCACCAGCAATGTATAAGGGTTCCAATGTCCTCTCATCTTTACCAACACTTGTTTTTATCTGTCTTTTTGGTTGATAGCCATCTTGGTGTGTATGAAGTGACATCTCATCATAGTTTTTATGAGCATTTCTGTAATGATTAATGATATTAAGCATCTTTTCATGTGATTATTGGCTATTTGTGTATCTTCTTTGAAATAATGCCTGTTTAAATCCTTTGTCCATTTAAAAAAACTGGGCTGTCTTTTTATTATTGCATTGTAAGAGTTCTTTATATATCATGTATACAAGCCCCTTATGAGATTTATTTTCAAATATTTTCTTCCATTGTGTGGGTTGCCTTTTTTACTTTCTTGATAGTCTAACTTGTGAATAACACTTTTGTTGTCATATTTATAAAATCATTGCCTAACCCAAGATCATAAAATTTACTCCTAGGTTTGCTTCTAAGAGTTTATAGTTTTAGTTCTTACATTTAGGTCTATGATCTAAATGTAAATTTTGAATTAATTTGTGCATATACTGTGAAGTAGGATTCGCTCTTTTGCATATGAATATTCAGTTGTTTCAGCACCATTTGCTGCAAAGACTCTTCTTTCCTCACTTACTTTTCTTTGCAAACTTGTCAAAAATCAATTGATCATAAATGTAAAGGCTTATTTCTGGACTCTCAATTCTATTCTAATGATTTATATGTCTATCCTTATGCCAGTACCACACTGTTTTGCTTACTATAGGTTTGTAGTAAGATTTAAAATTGGGAATTGTGAGTATTCCAAATTCCTTCCTTTTCAAGATTGTTTTGGCCATTGTCGATCTCTTGCATTTCCATATAAATTTTAAGATCACCTTGCAATTTCTGAAAATATCATTATCATTATTGAAGCAATAGTGTCAATGGTGAACTTCCTTCTTGTGGATTTGACCATCATCAGTTCCATGAATTTTTTCAGAAATAGAAGTTGAGTATTCTGACTTGCCCTGCTATACAACATTTCCATAACTACCAGTGGTGAAGTCTCACTGCAAATGTGTGAGCTCAGGACCAAGACTGAAATTTCTGGGAATGAGAACTGCCCTCAACCACTCCTATGGAATGCTGAGTGGCTTTTGGAACACTGAATGGCTAATGGAAATTACCTTTTGTAACAGACTTGATAATGTTTCTTAATGAATTCATTAACAAACTACAAGACAAAATTACAAGACAAAACAAGTACTTATATGCAAAAATTACACCGAGGTAAAGTCATTTCAATAACAACTAATATGTCACTCATAAGTAATGTCTCAGCCTGCTTTATATACTTCCCCTGATGCCAAAAGTTATAACAAGAATTGAGATGTTCATCTCCAGTCAAATTTGTACCAGATGTACCCCAGTTCAAGCTACAGTTCTAGTATTGTGTTTCAGACTTTAATGCAAATACAAAGAAAATTTTCCTATTCCAAAATACATTTAAGGGGTACCTGAATGTCTCAGTGCATTAAGCATCCCACTCTTGGTTTCAGCTCAGGTCATGATCTCATGGGTCATGAGGTCGAGCCCAGCATCTTCCTGGGCTCTGCACCCCTCAGGGAGTCTATTTAAAGATTCTCTCCTTCTGCCCCTCTCCCCTACTCCCTCTCTCTCTTTCTCTATCTAAAATAAATAAAGAAATCTAAAAAAATACATTTAACTGGGCAATGAGGAGCTTCTATCTAACCTTTAATTGGAAGTAATTAATTGCAGCAATGGAATGGCACACTAAAATGGCAAATATCAAACAAATTTAATAGAATTCTATAAAAGTCTACTAAGAGGTGAATATTCTCAATTAAAATTATTAACTTATATTGGGAGGTATGAACTTTCTTGGTGATGATTGTACAATATTGTGAATGTACTAAAAAGCCAGTGAACATATACTTAAAATGGTTAAAATGGTGAATTTTATGTTATGTGAATTTTATCTCAATTAAGAAAATTATAAACTCATGGATTACTATCAATATATGGCAATACCTGTTGGTGTGAAAGACATTTTAGTATATGTGCTGCCGAAGCAAGCACGGTGTGAAAGACATTTTCAAATATGGAATACATATAATCTCATTGCAGGTCAGTATTAACAAATGAATACTTGGAAATGTATTTTGACAGTGGGGAAAACTTTGAACCCCAATTAAACAAGATGTTTTTTTTTTAATTCTATTCTATTCTCATTAGTAGAACTGTGTTACAAAAAGTTGTATTCAATTATTAATAGTATATTTTCAATTTTATGAATAAAATTTTGTAAAAACTTATTTTCTTTTTTGGTATTTAAGAATTACATAATATCCTCAATTTTGCCTCTTGACCTGCAAAGCCTAAAATGTTTACTATGCGACCTTTATAGAAATTGTTTGTCGACCTTGCTCTGGGTAAATGGATTAATGATATTTGTTAGGAGTGAAGTTTTTATCTATGGAATGTTCTAAATTATATAGCCCTGATTTAGGATTGCTTAGGCAAACATACCTAGAACCTATGGGTTTATAACTTCCTAGAAAAGGTCATGCAAGCCATACAACTCTGAGGTATAAAATGGAGATATAAAATGGAGATGTGTTACAACTTATACACTCCCCACTGTGTGAGGTGACCCTCAAACCTCATTTAGAGGCCTCACTTCTTCTAGACCACAGAGTACCTATGTGATCTGAGAAGGAAGGACCTACAAAGCCAGCAGGATGCCCTAAACCTCTCCCTACTTGACCTGTGCCTCTTGATTGCTTGTATCATTAAAATTATTAATAAAGCTTGATGCTAGGTAAAATCCCTGATATTTGTGAGTCAGATATGACAGTTCAATTCCATGTATGAGCTGAAATATTATTCATTTATTTTAAAAACCCAGGGACGCCTGGGTGGCTCATTCGGTTAAGCGTCTGCCTTCGGCTCAAGTCATGATCTCAGGGTCCTAGGATCGAGTCCTGGATTGGGCTCCCTGCTCAGCAGGGAGCCTGCTTCTCCCTCTCCCTCTGCTGCTCCCCCTGCTTGTGCTCTCTCGTGCTCTCTTCTGTCAAATAAATAAATCTTTAAAAATAAATAAATAAATAAAACCCAAAGTAAGTTTTTAAAGAGTCACAACAAGCAATTTTGGCAAGACAATTCCAAATATTATTTCATGTTTGGAGTAAAGAATGAGGACTTCTCTTTAAGTAGGTAAAAGTGCCATATTTTCTAAAAGAATTATTTAGTATACTTTGGTAAGGAGCATACGTTACCTTCTACTCAATAGTCTACATATTTCTTGAAGTCCCTTTAAGTTCAGCCCCTTCTGTATTTAAAGATATTTATAATTAAATGTCTCTTCATAGAAACAAACCAATATGTGCGAGTAATAAGGATGCTAAGACCAAATGTACTACACCATCTGTGCATATCAAAAATTAAATTTGATCATTTCAACCCTGTTCTACCTAAGAATTATCATCTGCTTTTCAGGTTTTGAAAAATGATTATCCCTTAAAATTTTTTATGAAATGTATCTTTGCTTTTGAGGTATATTTTTCTTCCATTCTTTATGGTAAATTCTTAAATTTACACCAAGCAAAATCTTCCACCTCAAAACTATAGAGTTTTCAGAAAAAACAAAACAAACTTCTAAGCAATTTTTATTGATCTCCCTTGGAATACTTTGATCCTGATGAGATCTACTATTATTAATGCCTTTTATAACTTTGGTCCTGTGAAATACTGCCTGCATAAATTTACGTTTATATGTTGGTTTTTAGACTCCTTATAACTGACTGACAAGAAAAAACTTGTGAAGATGAAAAATTTTCACACTTCATTTTATAAAATCACTGCATACCAGGCACATCATTGAAACAAGACATCCTCATGATGATGATGAAATTGAAAGATATTGAATCAAATGGGGACACCTGGGTGACTCAGTTGTTAAGCATCTGCCTTCGGCTCAGGTCATGATCCCAGGGTCCTGGGATCGAGCCCTGCATCAGGCTCCTTGCTCAGCAGGGAGCCTGCTTCTCCCTCTCCCACTCTCCCTGCTTGTGTTCCCTCTCTCCCTGTGTCTCTCTCTGTCAAATAAATAAATAAAATCTTAAAAAAAAAAAAGATATTGAATCAAATGAAAATGTGTACAAAATTGGTCAGCAGGAGAAAGATAGAAAGCATTTAGTAAAAGAACTTTACTTGAGTGGCTACTGCCATTATGAAACAAACATATAGTTGTAAATACATTATGTATCTTTTTTTGTTTTTGTTTTTAAGGAAAAACATTAATTTTGGGGCTACGTTCAGAATAGCATCATCTACATGGGCATTCCCTCTTCCTACAATTTCAGAAAATCTTTGATAACTACTTGAGAAAATGCAGAAGATCTTGCAAACAGATGACATTACCAAAACCCAAGCTTTTAGAAAAGGAAAGAGGAAAAGAACAGAGACAATGGACTCAGAGAATGCAAATAGTGACATGGATAAAGGACAGGTTGGTGTTCTGTTACCTTAATATAATTTTATTATCTAGCTCCAGCATAATTCCAAAATCCTTTTCATAATTTTTTAGTTAGTACTTTCCCTTCTTCTATTAACTTATTGTTCCCTTTAATTCTTTGTTCAACCAAGGGAATAAAATTTCATGTTCTCTTTGTAACGTTGAACAAGTTGAGTTAGAAACATACTCAAAAGACATTTTACCTGCTTCTATTTGAGTATGGCCAATTATGCCATTGTTCAAACTTTCCCTCATATTCTGGGAAATGAAAGAGCAGCAAACTTGTCAGAAACTATTTTTCCTCTCAAAAAGTACTGAAGAAATTGAAATACCTCTTCTTTAAGATTTACTGTTTCTTTTCTTTTTTAACTCCAGTTTGTGGCCCATGTTCATCACTCGTTTGATCTGGGCTCCTTTCTTATTTTTATTGATTTATTCCTTTTTAATTTGAATCGCCCACTCCTGTTGTCCTCTTATGCTTTGGACAACCCAATAATGTGTTTATCCTGTTTTCATTTTACTTGTGTGTCTTTGTAATACATTCATTTGTGTATGTCTTTGTAATACATGTAGTTTGCTATGTGCATGTATTCTTATTTTTTTAAATACATTCTCATGGTTTAAAATATTTTTTAATCTTCCAGGGATGGTGTCTAGAGGCATTAAGGATGGTCCGGCATTTGACACCCTATCATAGGGTATCATACAATACACCCCTAGCAAAACTAGGCTTTCCCAAAACCCTGGTAATAGAACTGTTTACCTTTATACCAAGAAGATTGGGAAACTGGCAAAATTTGCTTGTTGGGTGTTCTCCGTCCATCTTTAAGGAGTTTGTGCTGTGAGACTTAAAGTTCTTACTAGGATCTAGGGGTGCCTGGGTGGCTCAATTGGTTAGATGTCTGACTCTTGATTTTGGCTTAGGTCATGATCTCAGAATCCTGAGATCAAGCCTGAGTCGGGCTCCTTCTTCAGTGAGGAGCCTGCTTGAGATTCCCTCTCCCTCCCCTTCTGTCCTCCCCCCACCCCGGCTTGCGCACATGCGTGCTCTCTCTCTCAAGTAAATAAATAAATCTTTAAAGTTCTTATGAGGTTCTCTAAAATGAAAAAAACATGTCAGCAGGGCCCATGGTGGTTCCATGTGTGCTAAATGTGTGCATGACAGGATTAAGTGCACTTTATTGAGCAGAAAATGATTGTTAAAGTGTTGAAGGCACAAGAACAGAGTCAGAAAGCTAAATAAAAAATAAAGCTTTTCTGAGTTAAAAAAATCAAAAGGTATATATTTTAATATATATAAATATATATATTAATATATAAATATATATATATATTTTTTAAGGTAAACAGTGAAAATTCTCCCTCACATCCCTGTCTCCCATCCACCCTGTTCCCACCTCCCACCCACCCACCATAGGTAACCACATTTATTGCTTTCTTGTTCATCCTTATAGTGTTTCTTTGTTCAAATAAAGCAAATATTAAAATAGATATTTTTGTCCCCTCTTGCACAAAAAAGTAACTTACCAGATATGCTGCTTTGTACTTTGCTTTTTGACTTAACATTTTTTTAAGATCTTTCCACTAGTATATAAAGAACTTTCTCTTTTTTACAGCTCCATATTATTCCACTGTGTCTATGTACCAGTCTTTATTTAGCCAGTCTCCTATGATGGATATGGCTTGTTTCCAACCTTTTCCTTCTTACAGATCATACTGCATTGTACAACCTTATAGATACATCATTTAGTAGTACATGGTATCATGATATATACCTCAATCTGTTTCTGATTTTTCAATCAGCTCTGTTTTTAACATCTACTTACATTGCTATTATATGTCTGATCCATTGTATCTAACTACTGCATAGCACCAGATTTTACTTATCCTTTTCTCCAATGATTAACACCTAAATTTCCTATAGCATCTTGCTACTACAAACAATGAAAAAATAAATCTCCTCATACCTGTCTTTTTAAGAAACAAATGAGGTTTTCTCTGGAATAAACACATAGAAGGGTGATTTGTGGCTTATAAGTTATATGTTTGTTTCTAGTTCATTTGACTAGATATTATAAGACTGCTTTCCAGAATGTCTATATGCCCAGAAGCAGGGCATGAGGGGCTCCTCTATTTGTATTTCCCTACCAACACTTAGCATTGATATTCATATTTCATTTTTTTTGGCAATGACGGGAGAAAATGACATCTTATTTCAATTTAATGGTGCAGGTTTGGGAGACCCAGTGGTTCCTTGAGGAGTAAAATAGTCACATGATCTTGCAGGCCAGTGTTGTAATTTCTTTAGCAATTTGTTTTCTTTAAAAAGTTTATAGCTTTCCAAACTACTTTCTATTTCATTCCATGGCAAGTAACTAAGCCAGAGATCTTAATTGGTCATAAATTAGCCTGGAAACTCTCCTCTTTTTTTTTTTTTTTAAAGATTTTATTTATTTATTTGACAGAGAGAGACAGCTAGAGAGGGAATACAAGCAGCAGGAGTGGGAGAGGGAGAAGCAGGCTTCCCACTGAGCAGGGAGCCTGATGTGGGACATGATCCCAGGACCCCGGGATCATAACCTGAGCCGAAGGCAGATGCTTAATGACTGAGCCACCCAGGCGCCCCCAAAACTCTCCTCTTTCATTATGGATTCTGCGCTCAGCCTCTTTTCTCTCCAACTTATGGCAGTTACCTAATGGCCACGTGAAACAATAAGCTTGAAGGCAACACACTGAAGTTGATGCTTACCATTGGGATGGATCTCAATGGATATCAAGAGAAGCTCTTGAGAAAGCCTTGAGATCACAGTCTTACCTCCTGCTATTTAGATGTAAAGGTAAATTGCTTTTTCACTGATTACCAGTAAATTTAGATTACAGGCTGCAATCTAAATGTAGGTGGAAGGAGAAAACCTTCCATCTCTGCAAACTGGCTGTCACTGACAAGAAATCTCTGGTACACACTGTCCTTCTTTTTTCCAGACTCAGTAAGCACATGATCTGACTTCCAAGGTATTCCAGGTGACAGTTTTACCAAATATGTCACCAAGGTCGAGCAAGAGTCAACAGCTTTTCAATGTTATATCTTTGCTTTTTTGGCCCACCACCTGGTCTCTAAGTAATTCAAACATATGTCAGGTTTTGGATATCTTGCTTCTGGATACCAAAACCCACATTAGTTATGATGTGTGTTTCAAAGGCTATCACAAAGACCCAAATACGTTTACTTCCCTTTCACATAACAGCAAGGGCAGTTGGGGTTTACTATGGCAGCTCCACAATGTTGAGGATCACTCTTATCTTGCTTGTCTACCTTACTCAACATGCAGCCTCTATCTCTGGGTCTAAACTGACTACTCAAGGGGCGCCTGGTGGCTCAGTTGATTAAGCATCTGCCTTCAGCTCAGGTCATGATCACAGGGTCCTGGGATCGAGTTCCACATCAGGCTCCCTCCTCAGTGGGGAGTCTGCTTCTCCCTCTCCCTCTACTCTTTCCCCTTGCTCATGCTCTCTCTCTCTCTCTCAAATAAATAAATAAAATATTTTTTTTAAAAAGTTCCTTTACATTCAAAGTAATTATTTGTAGATATGTATTTATTGACATTTTGTTATTTGTTTTGTGGTTGTTTCTATAGGTTTTCTCTGATCCTTTCTTCTGGTGCCCTCTTTCATGGTTTGTTGGCCTGATATACTTGGATTCCTTTCTCTTTATTCTTTGCATATCTTCCTGGTTTTTGACTTGTGGTTACCATTAGGTTTGCATATAACACCTTCTGCATGGAACAGTCTATATTAGGTTGATGATTGCTTAATTTTGAAACCATTCTTTACACTTCTCCCCTCATTTTAGGTATATGGTATCATATTCTACATCCTTTCATTTTATGAATACCCTTGACTGGTTTATACAAAAATACTTCTTATACTGCTTTTGTATTTTTTACTTTTCATACTCTCATTTATGGTCTTTCCTTTCCATTCAAAGAGTCCTCTTTAATATTTCTTGTAGGGCTGCTTTAGTGGTCACAAATTCCCTTTTTTTTTTTTTTTCTGAGAAACTCTTTACCTCTCCTTCTATTCTGAATGATAGCCTTGCTGGATAGAGTAGTCTTGGCTGCAGATTTTTCCCTTTCAGCACTTTGAAAATATCATGCCGCTTCCTTCTGGCCTGCAAAGTTTCTGCTGAAAAATCCACTAACAATGTTATGGAGTTTCCCTTGTATGTAACTGTCTTCTATTCTCTTGCTGCTTTGAAATATTTTTCTTTATCATTACTTTCTCTCATTTTAATTACTACGTGTCTTGGTGTGGACTTCCTTGGGTTGAATTGGGCGGGGGGGTGGAGGAGGGGGATCTCTGGACATGGATATCTGTTTCCTTCCCCAGATTAGGGAAGTTTTCAGCTATTATTTCTTCTTATAAATTTTCTGCCCCCTTTTCTCTCTCTTCTTCTTCTGAGATCCCTATAATGAAAATGTTATTATGCTTGATGGAGTCACTGATTTCCCTAAGATTATTCTCAATTTGCATAATTTTCTTTCCTCTCCTTAGCTCAGCTTGGTTACTTTGGAAGACATTACTCTGTCTTCCAGATCATTAATTAATTCCTCTGCTTCACCTAGTCTGCTATTTATTCCATCAAGTATATTTTTTTAAAGATTTTTTTATTTATTTGAGAGAGAGAGAGTAGACGAGCAGGGGGAGGGCAGAAGGAGAGGGAAAAGCAGACTCCCCACTGAACAGGAAGCCAGACATGGGGCTTGATCCCAGGACCCTGGCATTATGAACTGAGCTGAAGGAAGACACTTAACTAACTGAGCCACCCAGGTGCCCCAACCATCAAGTGTATTTTAAATTTCATTTATTGTGTTCGTGATCTCTGATTGGTTCTTTTTTTATGTCTGTGTTAAAGGTCTCACTGATGTCCTCCACTCTTTTCTCAAGTCCAGTGATATCTTTATGATCATTACTTTAAAATATCTATCAGGCATATTACTTATATCTGTTTTGCTTAGGTCTCTTGCTATGATTTGGTCTGTTCTTTCATTTGGGACATATTCCTCTCTGTCTCTTCATTTTGTCTAACTCTGTGTCTGTTTCTCTGTTTTAGGAAAGTCAGCTACTTCTCTTGCTGTTAACAATAACAGCCTTATGAAGAAGAGGTCTTGTAGTGCTCTGCTGTGCAGTGTCCCCTGTTCCCCAGGGCCTAGCACTTCAGGGAGTATCTCTTATATGTGTTGCTTATGCTCTGCTAGTGAGTCTTGGCCTCTTCTTCCTTCAACCCCGTTGTCTGCAGAGGCTTTCTTTGCCAGCAGGGGTGGGGCCCAATGCCATCTTCTACAAGGTTCTGGCATTGTGTGGACTCACTGTCTACACACTAAACTATTTCTATTTCACCAGTTTCCTCAGCACTTACCTGTCTCCTGACCAGGACACAGGGACTATTTGGATTCTCTAGCTGCTTTTCAAGAACTCTGGAGAGTCTGGCTGCTTTCTCTTATCCAGCTATCTAGATATTAATTTTGGCCATTTCTAATTTATGATCCAGAGAGGCACCATATTGCCCTGATGTTAATGCTGGACATGGGACCTCTTTAAGGAGTTGGGTTTTTTGTTTTTTAAAGAATTTATTTATTTGTCAGAGAGAGAGAGTGGGCACAAGCAGGGGAAGTGGCAGGCAGAGGGAGAAACAGTCTCCCTGCTGAGCAAGGAGCCCAATACAGGACTCAATCCCAGGACCCTGGGATCATGACCTGAGCCGAAGGCAGATGCTTAACTGACTAAGCCACCCAGGTATCCCTCTTTAGGAAGTTTTTAATGCACTGAGAAGCAAGGAGCCAACCCTGTTGTTCTAGAATTGTTCTTCATTTATCTGGATGTTTCTATCATATACCCTTGCCCCTGCCCATCTACCTTCCCCCCAAACAGTGGGGTCAGGAAGAGCAAAAACACTTAAATCTGATTTCCTGCCATCCCAACTCCTTATTTTCCAGGCTTCTCCTAGCACCAGAATGTCTCTTCCCTTCCTGTGCAACAGAAACTTTCTTTATGTCATAACATTATCTCTTCTACTCTAAAGTTTATTTTTAAAAAACTTTATACTCCAGGGCTGCCTGCGAGGCTCAGGAGGTTAAGTGTATAACTTTGGCTTGGGTCATGATCTTGGGGTCCTGGAATCAAGCCCTGGATTGGACTCCCTGCTTAACAGGGAGTGTGCTTCTCCCTCTCCCACTGCCCCTCCCCACTACTTGTGCTCTCTCTCTCTCAAATGGATAAATAAAATCTTTTAAAAAAATAAATAAAATAAAAATTAAAAATAAAAACTTTATACTCCAGCCTTTGGATCTTATAAATTCCATTCTATGCTCTGATTTTACATATATATGTATACACACACACACACACACACACACAAGCTTAGTAATTTGAGTAAATCCTTTTCTGTCTCAACACAGCCTGGGTTTTGCAACTCAAATGCATGTTTTTAGACTATTGTCTTGCTATTGACCTTAAAAATTATTTCTAAAACTAAAAGGAAAGCATGAATGCTTTGTTCTAGGTGAATCTTCTCTCTCTTTTCTCTGATGCAATAAACCCCAGATTTCTCAGTCTCAACAGAGAGGCTGTGAGTGAAAAGTTAGGGGAGAAATGGAGGGTGGGGATGAGTTACAAAGATCTGAATGGCAGTCTGGTTGATTCTTCTCTGTTATACCATTTTTCTACTTTATATTCTTCACTGAAGTTAGACAGAATCCTGATTTCTGCTATGTGTCAGATGTGTGCATGAAACTTTGATGTCTTCCCTTTTCTGAGCTTCCCTGGAGGGGGGAAGACAAAGCTGAGGCTAGTTCACTAGGTAGGACAACTCTTCATCCAGAGCAGGAAATGCCCGGGAGATGAGGGATTCATGGGTCTGCTTAAGTCCCTTCAGCATACAGAACATGGGATAAACCATTAAAGTCACTTTGAAGCTTCTTTTGTTGTGCCTGCCTTGTATTTTAGAGAGACCCATATTCAGGAAATGCCTTTCTGCCTGGTGAGAGCTCCAGTGAGGATGAAGAGCCTTTAGCAGAATTGTCAAAGGAGGAATTGTGCACAAAAATAAAAAGCCTGAAACAAAAACTAACAAACACCCGGAAAGAAAACAGCCGACTTCGACAGTCTTTGGTCATGCTTCAAGGTAAACTTAGAGAAAATTGACAGTTTTAGATAAAAGGAAAAATATATGATGAGTGAAAATTATTGCAAATCAGCTCTCAAGAATGAAAAAGCAAATCAGTACTTAGAGAAAAAAAAATCAAAAATCACATTTTAAGAAATCTGTGATTACCTAAACACAGAAGCACTCTTCTTGAAGCCTTTAGTTTATGGCTTAGAGAATTTTTTATTATTCCTACAAAATACCAAATGTTGTATTCATTTAATAACATTCAATGGATATTTATTGAGCATTTAATAGGGGCTACTCACTGTGGTAGGTCCCAGAGAGAAAAGATTAGTAAGACAGAACAAATATGTTATCATGTTCATGATATGCTATCTCATTCCCTTCTGCTAAGGAAAGCACTAGAAAATGAGACCTGTTATGATACATTATAGAACCACTGGAATAATAGATCCTATATATTGAAGGGTAGTTTTGGAGTTGGGAAGAGTAGTCTGGGAAAAAAATCACATTCCACTGAAGACTAATAAAGAAGAAAGATCAGTTTATGAAAATTAAAAACCACTTGGTATAATGTCTTTTTTAGGATCCTATATTGTATTTAAGTGTTTATTTTTCAAAAATTATGTTTTCCATTTGCAGTTAAGCATCATGCACTATTTTGTGCTGCTGAATATTTGGCAAACATGTCTTGTGTTGGGAAGCATTCTGTTGTAAAACAGTAAATACACAGACCATTTTGAAAATAAATCCCTCTGGCTGCTGTGTACAAAATGAGTACAAATAACACAAGAAAGAAATCAGGGAAGGGCCACTCTCCAACAGTATTGCAGTCATCCAGACTAACATGATGACAGCCTAGCCCAGGGTAATGGCTATGGAAGTAAAGAGGACAGTTCCACATAATTGTGGAGGTAGAAATGATAGGAGACAGAGCATGGTGATGAGCTAGATTTCTATTTCGTGGTAATGACTCACATGCTTTCCTAAGAATATTTATCACATTGAAGACTTCATAGTTTTAAGCAGAAGCAGTTACAGCTAAAATATGTTTATTCCAACACCAAGCCATTATCTCTTTATTTTTTTTTCAACTTTAAGTATTGAATTTTTGTAACCAATTTTTTTTTTCTGGTGAGGTTTTTGTGATTTCAAAGAACAGATCATTCTCGTTTTCCTATCATCTGTTCCAGGACTTAGAATAAGATGAAAATCTAGTTTATAAAGTTAGCATAAATTGCTGGTTAAACGTATTGATTTTTGAGTTACAGGTCTTGGTTTGAATCCCAACTCTGCTTACTGGCTATACAGCTGTGGCCTTGTCATGTTACTGGACCCCCAGCCCCAACTTCAACCTTTCCATCTACAAAATGGGGGCCAGGGAGCAACTTACCATGTCCTTGCTCCTGTGAAGATTAGAAGAGATCATTGGAAGAAATGCTTCACCCAAAGCACATGATAGGCGCTCAGTAATGATATTTATTATTGTTATTGTTTCTGCTTTTATCAACACCAGAACCTGACACATAAAAGCCCAAAAAGAAACTTATTACACCAATTTCTGTTATACATTTAGGTGAGAAAATTCTAAGTGTGAGTAGCAAATGAGTTTCAATGGTATATGAAAAGAATCACTACCACAAGCTTCTTCTCCCTCCCACACTCCCAATTGCCATTTCATTTTTTTCTCTCTGCCAACTTCTCACACCTCCTCCCATATCCTCACTCTCAGTTGATGACTTTGCTTCTGACTTCATTGAGAAATTGGAGGATATGAAAGAGACTATCATCTCCCCTGCACCAATGCTTTATTTTTTTGTATTCTTGTTTTTTAAGTAAGCTCTACGTCCAAGTTGGGGTTTAAACTCACGACCTCAAGATCAAGAATCACATGCTCTACCAACTGAGCCAGCCAGGTGCCCTAGCCCTGCACCCATGCTTTATGCTTCACTCTCTCCTGACATTCATGATGACCTATCTTCTTGTCTAGCCAAAGGCAGTATCTCCACCTATGCATCAGGTGCCATCCTCTTTCATCTAACTAAGGACATAGCTCCAGAGCTTCTCCTGGCTCTAACACAAGATAAAGTTTTCCTTCTCTAATGAATCATTTCCATTAGCATTGGACTTAGTATTATTTCTCGCATTTAAAAAACAAAACCAAACCCCTTTTAGGCTATTTGCTTCTCCACCTTCCACCCTATTTCTCTCCTCCCCTTTATAGGAAAAACTCCCTAAATGACTTGAAGCTACACACTGTGTTCAATTTTTCCCCTCCTATTCTCTCTGGATCCACTTCAATTAGATCTGGATCCACTTCCTTATCATTCTATTGTAACTTCTTTTTTCTTGTTCACTAATAACCCCCATATATAAATTTACTGGTAACAAAGTACCACAAATTTCATAGCTTAAACAACAGAAATGTGTTGTCTCCCATTTCTGGAGGCTAGGACTCCAAAATCAAGGTGTCAGCAGGATCACGCTCCCACTAAAGGCACCAAGGAAGCCCTCTATCCCAGCTTCTGGTTGCTCCTTGACTTGAGGCCATGTAACGCCTGTCTCCCTGTGGTGTTCTCCCTGTGTGCTTATCTCTCACCATGTCTAAATTTCCCCCTTCTTATAAGGACACCAATCATACTGGATCAGGGCCCACCTTAATGACTTCAGTTAAACCTATTACGTCTCTAAAGACCCTATTTCCAAATAAATTCTCACTTTGAGGTACTAGGGGTTAGGACTCCAATTTATCTTTTTGAGGAGATACAATTCAACCCATAACATTCCATATTGCTAATCTCAAAAGCCTTTTTTTTTTAGAGAGAGAGCACAAAGGGAGAGTAAGAGGGAGAAACAAAGAGCCCAATGTGGGGCTTGATCCCAGGACCCTGAGATCATGACCTGAGCCCAAAGCAGACACTTAACCAACTGAGCCACCCAGGTGCCCCTCAAAAGCCATTTCTCAATGATCATCAAATTGCCCTGTGACCAACATTTGAAACGTTTGGCTATCTCTCATTCTCTGGAAGTTTCCTCATTTAGCGTCTCGGACCTCACATTTACCAGTTTTCCTCTTACACTGCTGATCTTTCTTTCTATCTAAATCTATATGGCTGATTTATTTTATTATCTTACCCTCTAAATATCTGATGATGCCCCAAACTCAGTCCTTTAACTTCTTTCCTTTCTATGTACATTCACTCCACAGGTGATCATATCCAATTATATGATGTTAAAATCCATCAATAAGCTATGATTCTCCAGCCTGGACTTCTCCCTTTAACTGCAGACTTATTGTCCAACTGTATTCGTGACATGCCTGATAGGTATCTCAGACTAAATGCCCAAAACCATACTCCTGACCTTCTCCCTCAACCTGTTTTTCTCTTTCTTGCTCATCTTGGTTAATGCTAACTTCATTGTTCCAATTTCTCAAACGAAAAACCAATTTCTATATTTTTTTTACACTTTACACTCAGTCCATTGGCAAATCCTACTGGCTTTACCTTCAAAACATTTCTGAGATACAATCCTTTTTACCACCCCTACTACTGCCACTCTAGTCCAAGCCACCATTATCTCACATGTAGATTATCATGGTGGATTCCTAGCTGGTGTCACTATTTTTGCTCTTGCTTTTCTCTAGTCTATGCTCAGCACAGTTGCAAGAATAATTGTTAAACATAAGTCAGTTCATGTCACTTCTCTCTTCAAAACCCTTAAGTGCATTTCCACCTCACTCAGGGGAAAACGGAAGTCATTTTTTATGATTTTTAGTCCTTACACAATCTGGCTATTTCCTTTCTACTTACCTCTCTTGGCTTTATTTTCTACTACTCTCCCCTCCTTCTCTGTGATCCAGCCACACTGAGCCACTTGTGTTTTCTTTGAAGACATCAGACATGATCTTACTTCAGTATCTTTGTACTGGCCATTTCCTCAGGCTGGAATGTTCTTCCCCCAGATATCCACTTACTTACTTCAAATAAGTACACTCACTTCAAGACCTTACTCTAAATTTATCTTTTCCCTAAACTCCTTCCTCAATCTAAAATTTCAACCTCTCAGGGTGCCTGGGTGGCTCAGATGGTTGGGCGTTTGCCTTCAGGTCAGGTCATGATCTCCAGATCCTGGGATCAAGCCCCACGTCAGGCTCCCAGCTCAGCAGGGAGTCTGCTTCTCCCTCCACCTCTCCCCCTGCTTGTGCTCTCTCTGTTTCTCTCTCTCAAATGAATAAATAAAATCTTAAAAAAATAAAAATAAAATTTCAAACTCTCTGCAACATTTTTTATCCTCCCCTGCTTCATTTCCTCTTTGGCACTTACAACTCTCTATATAATCTATTATATATTTAATATTGTCTACCCCCTCCATACACACACACAAGTGTACCTCCAGAAACCAAGTTGTAGAGTTGGCTATTGGCTGGACTTCAGGCAACAGGAAAAGTCAGGAACTACCTACTGCTGCTGTGGTATTCTTGCGCGCATTTACTCATTCAGTAATATATATAAAGACCTACAATATATTAGGCACTGCTCTAAGTACCTAGGAAAATCCAGCAAATAAAACAAAGATCCTTGCTCTCATGGAGCCTACATTCTAGTGGGGCAAGAGAGTCACAAACTACAATACATAATAATTGAGTAAATTATATAATATGTTAGCTGATAGTACTATGGAAAAAATAAGGATGGTAAAAGAGGATTGGGATTTGAAGGAGATCATAAAAACACGATCTTAAATACAATCCTAAGTAACATGATCATAGGAGACCTCCTTGTGAAGCTACAGTTAGGAAGTAGGAGGATAACAGAAAGTTGAAATTTTATGTATAATCCAAATAAGAAAGAGTCTGAGGGAAGACTGCAAAATGGTTATTTATCTTTTGCTCAGTAATGCTCTTAATAACTCTTTGAACTAAGAATCAGGGCTCTTTTTCAGTTTATAAAGCCTACTAACTGAGGAAAAATGACAGAATATATATGCCATTTTAGACATTCAGAATGGCAAAT